ACCTGCTGTGGGTTGCAACCTCACAGGCATGGGAGGTGGGAGCCATAATGGAGCTCTGTTATTCCTGTTTCTGGCACTCATTTATTGTCCTTTCCCTTTCGAGATACCAGCAAGATGTGTCACAAATGCTACAGAAAGCATCACATGGAAAGAAACCAAAGTTCCTCTTTTATTACACACACCTATGTCAACAGCCACGGTTATAACCCATCCAAATTAAGAACCTGTAGGCAAAAAGGAGAAAATTATTAGATTACAAGAAACTTAGGAAAAAGTGGTGATAGATTTGGAATTGAATGTCCAAAAGGAGAGAGATGGATTTGTTTTACATTTAATCTTGAAGAGACAGTTCAAGATTTGGTAAAAAAACAAATAGTAAATATAAAGGTAAAACCAGCACAGCACTTTAACTCTGTATTGACCCCAAATTATCTATTGAGTCGTATTACAAGACTCCAAGCAGTTATGGAAATGATAGCAAATAAAGCCGCCCAGGCATTAGAGTTAATATCAAGTCAGCTAAGCCAAACGAAACCTGTAGTGTATCAGAATAGGTTGGCTTTAGACTATTTATTGGCAAAAGAAGGGGGTGTTTGTGGAATGTTTAATATATCAGATTGTTGAAGATTGATGACCACAGAAAAGTCATTCTAGCAAAAGCAAAAGAAATCAAAGAGAAATATATATATATATATATATATATATATATATATATATATGCATATAATAACCCAGGTACCGGTCCAAAATAATTAGAAAACAATGCTAAAACCTAGCTAGTGGGGTAATGTATTAGAAGAAATTAAGATCTTTCATTTTATGTGTTACAACTGTTTTTATATCTCTTCCTTGTGTAATCCCCTCTTTTATTTTGCCAGCATAGTCCAGAAGATGCAAGTAGATAAGAAATATTGCTCAAGCCAAATGATTTACAAAGAATAAGAGTGGGGATTGTGAAAAATGCATGTATTTTATGATTGGATTTTTGCAAATATTAAAAATAATATTATACGTGTTGTGTTAGAAAGTAATGCAGTATTAATTCTCTTAAGTACTGTGTTAAATATAGTTTTAGGTTATAAAAATTGTTAAAATAGAAACGATGCTATGTAGGATACTTTTTTAAAAAGAAAGGACTCGCAGTGAGATAGCAGCCACGGGACACCTAAATCTTTCAGAGAAAAAGAATTTATTGCCCTCTTACCAGAAGAAACGAACTTCTTCCCGCCTCGAAGGCGCTGTTAGGATTTGGAGGAAGAAGTTGCCGATGACCAGACAGAATCCTGTATTTGAATGGAATTTATGCATCATGTATGAAGTGGATGAATATGCAACAGGCTATTGTTTTTAAGGGTTAATCCTTTGTTTACGGGTGTCCTTTTTCGGGCTCGTGCTGCCCAGAAAGAGGTACCCAGACGTCCGTAACTCTTTGTGTTTATTGTCTCATATTGTCCTAATTCAACTTGTCCAAATTATTATTACTCTAATTGTATTACTACTTTTATAACCATTTTGTTACTATTAAACTTTTAAAATTTTGAAAACAAGTGATTGGCGGTTTTAACTTCCCCCTTTGTCCCCCGTCCTGACCCTGATCCCGGTGCCACATGAGCGCTGATCCCGTTCAGAGCCTTTGCCCGGGGTGGAGGCGGTGACACCATGGCCACCCCCCAGCCCACACTGTCACCGGCTGCCCTTAGGGCATCGGCCTGGCCGTGGCCGTGCAGCTCACCAGGGACCCCCAGAAGCGACACCTGGGTGAGAGGGGTGTCCCCAAATGTCCGCAGGGCAGGGAGGGTGAGGGGGGACACACAGGGCGGGGAGGGGTGGATGTGGCGGATCTGTCGCGGGGCGCTGAGTCCCGGCTGGATGATAACAGGGCCGGGACAGAGCCCCCGTTGGAGCTCCGCAGAATCCCAGCTGCCAGGGGAGGTTCGGCGCAGAAACAAAAAGGCAGCAGCACGGGCCCTGGGGTGGAACCGGGGGAACTCTATTCGATGGTAAAACTCCCTGAGTCTGTAGCAGGCTCCATGGAATTGGCCAGGGCCCCAGGGAGGGCTGAGCCTTAAGGATAGGAATTGCTGAGTCACGGTGAGATAGCAAAATCGGCTCCTGTCTTCCACCTCTCGGACCCTAGCTTATCTCTGTAACCCCATAGGTCACTTTCCCCCAACCCCTACTATTGGACAAATTTGGATCCCTTTGTACCCTATAAAAAGGGGCTGGTTTAGCCCATTTGGCAGAAGAAGAGCCGTCGCTGGAACCCTTCACAGACCACCCACTAAAAGCATCGCTGTGGAACACCAGGACCTTTCTTCTCCTCTCTCGTCTGCTTCCCCGAATAGCCTGCCAGGCACCTTAGCAAACAAAGAGCTGGAATTCTAAGAGAGCTGATAACCACTAAAGAGCTGATATCCACTAAGCTTGCTTAAGGTAGCCATGGCTACGAGCAGCCTGGGTGTTTGGACTCTCTGTCCCCAGGAGGGACTGAGCTATCCGGCCCGTGCTGCTTTGCTCGGGGACAAAACCTGCCCTGCGGGCTGAGGGGCAATACGAGTCCAGGATCCCAGGACCCTGAAGAGAGGGCAGACAATAGCTTATAAACAGGGGGGTCTCGGGGAGGATAAAATCTCTGGCTAATTGGGGGAACTGGGGGTGGAACACAAGGCAGGGAATACAATGTGTAAACCAATGAAGGATTTCAAGGGAGGAGAACAGCTTGAGTAAACTAATGGGGTTTCCAAGGATAAAAACTGACAGGGAAGTTTCTAAAGGGGACGGCAGGTTCGGGGAGGGATTGACATTTAATGGAAGGAGGAGTAAGGAAGGTTCTGGGGCAAAGGTAGGGGCAGGAGGGGTTAACAGCTGGGAAGGGGGGGACGTTTGAAACTTGGCAGGGAGTAGCTGGGTAACAAACAGAACTAAACTGAATAACGGGGAGGACAGTAAAGAGGGCTTGCAAAACCACAAATTACACAGAGAACCTGCCAAATTAAGAAAACACACTACAACAGATGGACATCCTGGGGGTGTCCTCAACTCCTTAAGGGACACATCAGGATTGTCCCCAGCAGGGGATTGCGGGATCCCTGATGGATTTTTGAGATCCCTGATGAATTTTGGGGGTTTTTGGGATCCATGATGAATTTTTGGGGTCGCAGTACCGGCCAGCATGCGGAACCTGTCATGATGGATTTGGGGCCGGGGCTCTCTAATGGAGTTTTTGGGATCCCTGGTGAATTTTTGGGAACCCTGATGAATTTTCGGGGTCACTGACTGATGTTTGGGGTTGCAGTCCTGGCCTCCATGAGGGACCTGCTGCAGCCGGGGCCACTGGAGGCAGCAGCCAGGGCCACCCTTGGGGACAGCCTGTGGATCCTGTGGCTCAATGTCACCAGCAACAGTTCTGTGGCTGAGAGCCTGGGGGGACTTCCAGGGGGATGCGTGGACATCATGGGTCAGGAATTTTGGGGGGTTCTGGGGTGGTTTGAAGTGGGACCCATAGCACGGGGAGTGGACCAAAAATGGAGGGGGAAGGACTCAAAATCAAAGGGTGTCATGGGATGTCGTGGGGTGTCACAGGTGTCGTGGCATGACTCCACCTGTGCCAGGGCGGGCGCAGACACTCAGTGCCAGGAACAGCCATGGGAACATCCTGAGGGAGACAGGGACACCCTGCAGGACACAAAGAGACCCTGCAGGACATGACCCCAAGACCTCGGGGACTTCAGCCCCACCAGGGGTGGGGGCAGGGACATAGGGAGAGGGACAGGGACACACAGAAGGGGACAGGGACACACGGGACAGGACAGGGACACACAGAGGGGTGACAGGGAGCCATGGTGGGGGATAGGGACCTACAGAGGGGAGGCACACGATGCAACCATGACACACATCAAGGGACAATGTTGCCACACCTGTGTGGATGCTGCCACCAGGACACCTCTGGTGACACCCAGTGCAGGGCAACATGACCCGCCAGCTGACACTGACCTTTTCCCCTGTCCCCAGCCTGTCCCCAGGGGCAGTTGAGGTCCCCTAAGTGCGGTGGCCCTGGGACACCCTGGTGGCTGTCACTTGCTTCCAGGCCACTTGTCACCAGCTGAACAATGTCCCCACCCATCTGCCCTGATAGGTGGTGACATTCAGCTGGGACACCGCGGTGGTGACAGCAGGGATGTGGTGGAAGGAACTGCATCAGGCAGCGCTTTGCCATGGCAAGATGAAGGTGCTGGTGGCACTGTAGTGGTGGCATTGACGCTGTCCCAGTTCATGTCCCCATGCATGTTTCCCATGTTCCCATCCATGTCTGTGTTCCGCCATGTCCCACATGGTCCTGTCTATGTCCATGTCCCCCCATGGCCCTACACATGTCATTGTCCCCCACATGTCCCCATGCATGCCTTAGTCCAATGCCTTTATTTCTACCCCAGTTTCAGGGCTTTGAAAGGAATGAACAGAAACCTTTTTGTTTCAAGGCAGAAAAAAAAAAAAGATTTATGTATCCGTCCTGGCAGAGCATCCACGTGCTTGGGTGTGTGGGAAGAACCTTTTTTGGAGGAGTTTCCACCTAACTGTCTCCAAAATTGGAAAATTGAGGGTTTTGCCCTAGTCCGTCCCCATTTGGCTGTAGAAGATGTCTGTGGGTCAGAGAGAATTAAAACGATGGATTTACGTTGGAGAAGACCTCCAAGACTATCCAGTGTTGTTAAGACCACCAGAAGATGCAAAAAGTGATTTTTTCTGGGGTCAGGAGTGGACAAATCAGCTCTACAAAATGGATTTTGGATGTTATTCTGTTATTTGGATGTGTGCAGGTGCCCAGAGGGAGACAGGAGGATGTGGAGCCCCCCAGCCAGGTGTCTTCCCAACATGGATCACCGGCACCACAGATCACCGGGGATCACTGGGGATCATCCAGGGTGGATCTCCCGTGGGGGATGGAGCTGTAGCAGCACACGAAGCTCTTCCTGCACTCAGGAGGACTCACAGGGCTGCCCTTAGTGGTGGCTCCGTTGATGGTGGGTCAAGGCGGAGCTGTGCCGGAATCTCTTCCCACACTCGGGACACTCATAGGGCGTCTCCCCGGTGTGGATGCGCCGGTGGCTGGTGAGGTGGGTGTTGCGCCTGAAGCCCTTCCCGCAGTTGGGGCAGCGGAAGGGCCTCTCGTCTGTGTGAATGCGCTGGTGCAGCAGGAGATGGGAGCTGGTGTGAAACCTCTGCCTGCATTGATCACACTCATAGGGCCTCTCTCCCGTGTGGGTGCGCCGGTGCTTGACGAGGGTGGAGTTGTCCTTGAAGCCCTTCCTGCAGTCAGGGCAGCGGAAGGGCCTCTCCTCTGAGTGAATGCGCTGGTGCTGGAGGAGATGAGAACTGGTCTGAAACCTCTTCCTGCATATATCACACTCGTAGGGCTTCTCCCCAGTGTGGATCCTCTGGTGGACAGTCAGGTGGGAGCTCCTCCTGAAGCTCTTCTCACACTCAGGACACTCGTATGGCCGCACCTCTGTGTGGATTCTCCAATGGATGACGAGGTAGCATCTCTTACTAAAGCTCTTCCCACATTCTGAGCACTTGTGGGGCTTCTCCCCATCCTGAAGCTGCTCATCAACCCCCAGCTCCGAACTCCGGCCACCTCCCCAGTCCAGGGTGGGTCTTTCCTCCTCAGATCCCCGTGATCTGCGTCTGCAGCCCCTCCTTGTGAGGGATCTCCAAGGCTTTTCCTCCCCGTTGGATTCCTGTGCTGTGGAGCCGCACAAAACGGCCTCTTCCATGAGGTTCTGCTGTGGGGATTTGCCCTCCCTGCTCTCCATCCTCAGCTCCTGGTCTGGGGGAGGAAGGACAAGGAGAGGATGGGATTTGCCTCTGTGCCACAGGGAAGGGCAAGGAGATGCCCCCAGTGTGTCCCCAGCAGGACAGCTTTGGCAGCAGGGTTCTCCTGCAGCCGGGGGCCATGCTGGGCTGGGAGATGGAGCAGGAGAGAGAGAGAAAGGGGCACTGACTTCCTCCTCACCTGCCTGGGGCTCCCCGGCCATCTTCCTTTTCCTCACGGCCTCTTCTTCCATCGGGCCAAGGTTGGGGAATGGGAAATCCTGGTTTGGGGGAAAACAAGGGCTGAACCCGTTGGGTTTGATGGTCCCGCTGCCCAAGTGCAGCTGGAGAAGTCAGCGCCCCTTTCAGCCTCGGGGGGCCCGGAGCCCGCTCATCCCCAGCCTCCCCCACCCCTCCAGGCAGCCGGTTTGTCCCCCGGCTCCGGGATCGCCCTTCTGCGCTCTCCCCGCTCCGGGGCTCCCGCGTTTCCCCCCGGCTCTCCCGGGTATCCCCAAATCCGTGATCGCCCCTGTGCACGCCGGTACCGGGCGAACGTGAGACCCCCTCCATGTTCCCTCCAGGGGAAATTTACTGTTCGAGTTTCGGGTACAGCAAGAACCAAACATCCCCTGACCCACAAAAATCCCTCCCGAAAACCCCCCGATGGATCCGGGGCGAACTCCCCCATCCCGCTCACCCGCGGCTCCTGGAGGCGGCGATGCAGCAGGAGCCGGGGGAGCTTCGGCCTGAGCGGCGGGAGAAGGCGACGGGGAAACCAACGTGGTTCTGCTGCTCCTCTTCCTTCCACTCCTCCTTTTCCTCCTCTTTCCCTCCTCTTTCTCCCACTTTTCTGTCGCTCCCAACCCGGCCCGAGCAGTGCCGAGCCCCAGAAACAGCCGCGCTCTGCCCTGGGCGGGTTCCGAAACAGCCGCGCCTCGCGCGGCAGTGGGAGTGATCCTGGGAGCACCGGGTACGGATCCTGAGATCAGCGGGAAGGAACTGGGAGCGCTCTCCCTGCCAGTCCCGCTCTTACTGGGAGCACTGGGAGGGAACTGGGAGCAAACAGCGCCCGGAGGCGGCTGCAGCCGGCGGTGGGCGGGGCCACGATAGAAGGCGTGGTTATGCAAATACGAGATAGATCGCGCGCTGGGATTGGTGGGCGGGAGCAGCGCGGGGTTTGTTCGGTTATGTGAGGGCCGCCGCGGCCGGACCGATGGCGGCGGCGTCCGGTGAGAAGGGACAGGGAGGGGGAATGGGAACAAGGAGCGGGAATGGGGACGGGGACCGGGATTGGGGACAGGGACCGGGAACGGGAGTGGGGAGACGGACCGGGAATGGGACCAAGAATGAAGATAGGGACCGAGAATGGGTCCAAGAATGGTACCGGGGAAGGGGATAGGGACCAGGAAGGGGACCAGAGATGGGGACAGGGTCCGCAAATGGAGACAAGGACCAGGGAAGAGAATATGGGAATGGCACGTGGAACACGGAAACAGCAACCGCAGAGAGAATATGGGCTCCAAAGTGTCCAAGTGAAACCCAGCAGGGGCTGTGAGCTCTGCAGCTGGGCCTCCCCTGGGCTGCTGCGGCCCGAGGCCCAAAGGCGGGAGCTGCAGCCTCGCTCCTGGCTCAAGAACAGGAGCCTCCTCCAGGCCCATGGCCCCTGCATGGCCCCAGCATGAGGGAGGGCTCTGAGGCACAGCGGCTGCTGGCCGGAGGGGCTGCTCCGGCCAGCTGGGGGCCTCTGAGAAATGCCCAAAGCCTTGTGCTCTCTGCAGCTGGCCAAGGACAGCAGCAGGGCTGAACAGTTCGTGTGGCACAGCCAGCCCGAGCTGTGCAGCCCTCAGGGCCCCACGCGAGAGGCTGCCCTCAGCAATGGCACTGGGAATAGCACCGGGAGTACGGGACAGGGCCAGGAATGGGGACAGGGACAGGGAATGGGACTGGGAATGGAGACAGAGACAGGGAATGTGGACAGTGATAGGGAATGGGACTGGAGAATGGGGACAGGGACTGGAAATACTGGGGTGGGACCAGGAATGGGACCAGAAATGGGTACAGGGACAGTAATATGGAACCAGGACCGGGAATGGGGACAGGGACTGGGAATACAGGAGAGAGACCGGGAAGAGGATCATAATTCAGACTATGGGAACAGGACAGGGAATATGGAAACAGCAAACAGAGAGAGAATATGAGATGGGAATTAGGAAGATAGGACCAGGATGGGAAATGAGAATACGAGAACAGAACTGGGGATGGGAATATGGGAACGGGATAGGGAATATAGACATAAAAAATGCAGGAAATAGCATCGGGACCGGAAATACGGGAACAGAAACAGGACAGGGAATATGGGACTGGGAATATGGGACAGGGACAGGAAATGAGACAGGGAGTGGGATCCGGGACGGGACCGGCAGTGTGGTGACACGGTGTTGTGGGTTCAGTGTTGGCTAAATGCTCATGTACTCTCTAGAATTATTTACTTATTTTTTGTTGTGAGACAGGATTAGAAGAAAGGTAAAGTAGGGTTAAAACTTTAACAGGGTATAATGAAAACTTTAGTAATAGAACTAAAAGAAAAAATAGAGCATAAAACTTTTAAAACACTTCTCCTCCTCTCCCCACAACTTTTTATCTTTCCCGCTGATGATGTCCAGAGATGAATTTGTTAGTCAGTTTACTTCTACTAAAATAAACTTTCATCAGTTTTCTTAGGCAGAGGAGTCTTTCTTGCCTTGGCTATGGAGATTTCTCTACAAGAAACAGTGTTCTTGTGGCTTCAATCTAAACGAATAGCAGCCGCTTGGGAATTTGCATTCGTGAAGTCCTTCTCATCTTTTGCAGCCTTCCCACAGCTGTGGTTTTGGGCTATGTTAACTTATTGGGGTGCCATTTTTAAGGATGAACTGTTAAAAAACAAAGGTTCTTTTTATGTATCTCTGAAATCATCTTCATCTCTGAGAACAGAGGTTTTCTTCTTTCCTGGGAGCAAAGGGGCTTCATTACTTTTGTCTCTCTCTGTTCAAGCTTCTCATCAGGATTGCAGCTCCTTTAACAGCTGCTCACTTTAGCATTGGTGCCTCTGTTCATGATGGTAATTAAAACACTATATCCTTCGAAAGCATTTTAATGAGTTACAGGGAAAAAGAGTCTGATGTATCAATTGCATTCTTCTCTATAGCCTTATGGGAGGATTTCAGCCTAAGACTAATGCATTTCTTCATTTTTTCTCTATCTGGGACTTGAATCCTTTTTTACTGCCTTTGGTGTCTTTCTGTTGTCTTCTATATGTCTATCTGTCTTTTTCTCTCCCTTGAGAGAGGATTGAAGGTCTGTAAGTTTCATTTGTGCAGTGGAGTTGATGTTACCCAGGCATTGCATCATTGTTGCTGTTGGTTCTATGATTCCTGCCCGGCAGTGGTTGGAGCAGTCGTAGTGCATTATTTCAGGCTGCCCTGAGGGGGCTGTGTCAGGATCTCAGGAGGGCCTGGCCTAGAACAGCAGCACGCCACGGGCCGATGGCTTCCCCTCCCTCTGCTCAGCAGTTTCTGGTGAAATTCAGCTGAGACGTAGGCCAGCCGTGTTAGCATTCAGAAACACATAATCACATGAGCGATTATATGCGGTGCTTTTTATTGAAGAGCTCTGGGAATCGGGGTAGTTTCCACCCAAATCTGATTCCAGCCATACATTCGAGGTGAACATGTTTTATACTCTATCATTACATAACTTTCATGTTAATTATTAAACTTATATTGTTCTATTGTATACACAGATTTTAGCTAAACATAGCCCCCTTTAAATTTCCAACATAGTTTCTCACGATTCTTCTTATGGTTATATAATAATTATATTTAATTACTAAACAATCATCACCTCTAACAATTATATCTTTTATCATACTGCTTACGCAGGTGCACTGATCTGAGAAAACACAAAGCCTAATATTTTCAAAGACTATTTTTAACATTTTCCAGGGCTCCACTATCAGCCTGGCCGCGCTGGAGGGGAGGTTGGGATCTGGGTAGCCAGGCTGGAACACAGCAGCAGCATGCCAGGGGCTGATGGCTTTCACTGCCCTGCCTGGTGGTTGAGGACAAAGTTCAACAGTGGCAGAATCTTTGCCAAGCTGCCAAAAATCCAGCGGTGGAGCTGGCACAGCTCAGCAACTGTGGGTGGGGCTCAGCAATTGTTGCCGCCGCTTGGGGCACAGCGCTTGGGGCGTGGCGTCCCAGGTCGAGGACGCCTTGGTGGCAGCACCTTTGCCACACGGACCAAGCACATGCACACACCAATGTGGTGGATGGTGAAATGGCCTTTATTAACGGTTTCACGGGGTAATTTATAGCAGGGTTAGCGGTAAAGTAATGGTAAAAGGGGAGGGGTTCCACCTGAGCGTAACATCACAATATTTTGAGCCTAACATCGCGATATCTTCCCACATTTCCCCCCACTTTTATGACCAGCTAAAAACATAGAAAATGCTAAGGTTAAAACTAACAAGTGGGTAACTGGCAAAATGCACCAAACTTGAACAATGTAACACAACCACAACAAACTTGTAACTGTAAATGTTTAACAAACCAAAAGCTAACTATCTCTAACTGGTTTTTCTAAAAAAACAACACGAACTTGTTTAAAATATAAGGCGATCAGGCATGGGGGCTGACTGAACCATGAGTTTGGATATTTTCGCAGGACCTCCTCAGTTTTTTGGTTGACACCATAGCACCGAATTATCCTCCCAGAGTCTGCAACCTGTTTGACCTTAAAACTAGAGAGATTTGGAGAGCTTATGTCCAGACCCATGTTCTCTCCAAAATGCCCTTTGAACCTTTGATGCAGGAAAAACTCCGGGTTGATTGGCATTCCATGCAAGTAGAGCCAGAACGTGGCCAGAGTTCGAACTCTACTTGATGGATACCACTTAAAACAAGACTTTTAAAAACAACATTTATGTGAACCATGACTGATAACATTTTTGTTGAGCTTTTTTCCCCCAGTCCTTCTCTGCGCCGGCCTCTCCTTTAGTTTGGTCACTGAGTTCTTTCACGACCCCGGGATGGTCTGCCATCGGGCTGCTTGATGATTCGTCGCAGCCTTTAGGAAGAAACGGGCTGCGGGGCTGTCTGAGGATTCAGTCCTGCAAAACAAACTTTACAAATTTCATTAGTTTTTGCCCTGAAGGTCCAGTTTTATCGACTTAAGCGGGCACCATTTGATTTTACTATTTTTCTTGATGGCTGCGTACCCTTGCCCTGTGAGTACCAGCCTCCAACCCTGTTCCCATTCCCCTAGTTCATTTTTAATTATGACCTGTGGGCCTTCCTCTAGTGCTCGCATGGCCCAGGGTCACAATGTTAAGGTGTTCTTCTGGCCAGAAAGATCTGTTCACTGTATAGTTTGCTAAACAGTAGGCTGCTGCAGCAATTTGTGAAGGAAGGTACTCCAGAGGAGGATCAACTTGAAGGAGACTCAGCTCTGCAAGATACCTTGCAAAGTTCTCTGTCCTCATACAGATTCCACATCTCTGAATATACTGAAGGAGGAACTGGTTGACGGTTGGGGCTGTTAGGTCAAAACCCAGCACTTTGAGAAGCAAGTGTTCCGTTCTTAGCAGCTGCTTCTTTGTGTAGGTATCATCTGTTATATAGACAAATTCATCCACATCTGGTGGGTAGATCTCTTCATACTTTGCAGCCAGAAGAATTGCTGCTGTTCCCACAAGCTGTAACTTCCCTCTGAGAGCAGACATGCAGGAAAGAAACCTGTCCAGGAAGTTCACTGCCAAGTACAAAGTCTCTGTCCAAAGTTTATACTCTTCCCCTACCTCCTCCAGCCAGTCTACCAGGATAGCATGCATTCCTGTTGTGATATCTGGCTGCTTCTTCATGTAGTAGGGCTTAGGCCTAAATCTTACTTCTGCCTCTGGGAGGTACTAATGAATGTCTTCTGCATACTCTCCCACAGCCAGAGTTACAACATCTTCCACTACCATAGGAGAGCCTGAACTCAGATCCAGCAGCCGATGAATACTGGATGTCATTGCACTGGTATCCAGTTCACAGTGGCTTAATTCCAGCTCTTCAGACACTTGGCAGCTGTAGTTTTCTTTATCTTCTGAATCATCTATGTAGACAGCAAAACCTTGCTTTGATGCAGCACTGATGATGCAGTTGGGCACTTCATCTTTTCTACATGAAATGATGGTGTTTTCAAAGGCAGAGAAGCGCTTGATAACAGCAGCACCCTGGCTGCCGGGCCGCTGCTGCTGCTGCCCGTTCTCCGTCAGCACCCCCAGCACGGCCCGGCCGCTGCTGCTGCTGCGGAGGGCGGCGGGGCAGGACTCCCGCCATCCCGCAGAGCTCTTCTCTCCGGTGCGATGCATCGCCCCGACATCGGTACCGCACTGCCCGGCTCCGCTCGCCACCAGCCCACGGAAGGGTCCGGCCGCCCCGCGCCGCCCAGGCTGCCCGCCGGTGCTGCGTAGGCATGGCTGCTGGAGGGGGCGGTTGTTGGCCGCGGCCGGTTGGGAGCCCGGCAGCTCAACCCCTGGCACGCCGCCCTGCCAGCCCCGCCGGCCGAGGATCCCCATGGTAACCCCCTCCTTCTAGGGCTCATCACCCTGCGGTGCATAAGGCGGAGGCCTCGCCCAGGCTCCCTCGGACTCCGAGTCAACAGCGGCGCCCAGGGCCTCTGAATCAACGGCGGCGCCCCATGCCTCCGAGTCAACGGCAGCACCCAGGGCCTCCGAGTCAACGGCATCACCCAGGGCCTCCGAGTCAACGGCGGCACCTCGCGCTTCCTCTAGCAGCCTGTCCCAAAAATGACCGCTTTTTCCCCGTAGTCGGGGTGCCTGGGCTCAGGAGCTGCAAAGAGCGCTCCTGCGGCTGCGAATCCCCACACTCGGCAAACTCATGATCGCCCGCAGTCTGCGCGGCCACCGCCATACCCTGCCGGGGCCCCGCCTGCAAACATTCCTGTGTGGTTTTCTACTTTCCCCACTCCTGCTGAACGTGCTGAACCTTTTTCAGAGCCTGCATGACCCTGACAGAGAGAAGATCTCATCAGCTCCTTTCAGAAATAATAATTTCTAGGGGTGACTTCTTCCTTCTTCACTAAATATCAATCACGGCAAACACAAATGGGAACCAGTGCGGGGCAAGAGAAGTCACAGGAGGGAGAGGGGGATCTGGAACAGGGGACATCAGGAACTAGGATAGGGGGACATGGTGACAGTTCCAGGGCAGGAGGTCCTTGATCAGCTGCCTTAAACCTCTGCCAGGGTCTCCCAGTGCAGCCAGAGCCACTTGGCCTGGGCTGCCCAAAGCCCTGAGCAACCCCCAAATTCCTCCCAGGAGTGCTCAACTCCCTTGAAACCACCATCGCCCAAATCACCAGAAGATCCCCCTAATGTCTCCAACCTTGTCTAAGTTCAATGTCTTTCTTTTTACACTGGTTTTGTGTGTTTGGAAAGGACAAAGAGAAATGAAAAGAAAATCCAGGCCACAGGAAGCCAGGAGGATGTGGAGCCCCTCCCAGGCAGGTGTCTTCCCAACACAGATCACCGGCACCAAGGATCACCAGGGCTCTGCCCTCCCGGGCTCACTGGGGATCATCCAGCGCAGATCCTCCCGTGGGGGATGGAGCTGGAGCAGCGCAGGAAGCTCTTCCCGCACTCGTGGCACTCGCAGGCTGCCCTTAGTGCTGGCTCCGTTGGTGTCTGGTCAAGGTAGAGCTCTGGGAGAAGCTCTTCCCACACTGCGCACATTTGTAGGGCCTCTCCCCAGTGTGGATGCGCCGGTGGCTGATGAGAGCAGCGTTCTGCTTGAAGCCCTTCGCACAGTCAGGGCAGCGGAAGGGTTTCTCATCAGTGTGAATGTGCTGGTGCAGGAGGAGAGAGGAGGTTGTCTGAAATCTCTTCTTGCATTGATCACACTCGTAGGGCCTCTATCCAGTGTGGCTCCTCTGGTGCACGATCAGGCTTGAGCTTATACTGAAGCTCTTCCTGCACTGCCCACACTCATATGCTTTTTCCCCCGTGTGGCTCCTCTGGTGGACAATCAGCTGGCAGCTCCTGGAGAAGCTCTTCCCACACTCAGAAGACTCGTAGGGCCTCTCCCCAGTGTGGATGCACCGGTGCTTGATGAGGTTGGAGTTGACCCTGAAGCCCCTCCCACAGTCGGGGCAGCGGAATGGCCTCTCCTCTGTGTGTGAGCACTGGTGCACGAGGAGAAGGGAGCTGGTCTGAAACCTCTTCTTGCATTTATCACACTCATAGGGCCTCTCCCCAGTGTGCGTCCTCCAGTGGGAAATAAGGTGGGAGCTCCTGCTGAAGCTATTTCCACACTGCCCACACTCATAGGGCTTCTCTGGTGTGGATGCGCTGGTGGACAATCAGGTGAGAGCTGGTGTTGAAGCTCTTCCCACACTCGTAGGGCCGTTCCCCGGTGTGGATTCTGCAGTGGCGGATCAGGGAGGATCTCCACCTGAAGATCTTCCCACATTCTGAGCACTTGTGGGGCTTCTCCCCATCCTGAAGCTGCTCATCAACCCCCAGCTCCAAGCTCCGGCCGCCTCCCAGGCCCAGGGTGGGTCTTTCCTCCTCAGATCCCCGTGATCTGCGTTTGCAGCCCCTCCTCGTGAGGGATCTCCTCCCTATTCGGTTCCTGTGCTGTGGAGCTGCTCAAAACAGCCTCTTCCACGAGGTTCTGCTGTGGGGATTTGTCCTCCCTGCTCTCCATCCTCAGCTCCTGGTCTGGGGGAGGAAGGACAAGGAGAGGATGGGATTTGCCTCCGTGCCACAGGGAAGGGCAAGGAGATGCCCCCAGTGTGTCCCCAGCAGGACAGCTTTGGCAGCAGGGTTGTCCTGCAGCCGGGGGCCGTGCTGGGCTGGGAGATGGAGCAGGAGAGAGGGGGAAAGGGGCACTGACTTCCTCCTCACCTGCCTGGGGCTCCCCGGCCATCTTCCTCTTCCTTGCAGCCTCCTCCTTTTCCATCCTGCCAAGGTTTGGGAATAGCAAATCCTGGTTTGGGGGGAAAACAAGGCTTACTGAGTTGCGTTTGATGGTCCCGCTGCCCAAGTGCAGCTGGAGAAGTCAGCGCCCCTTTCAGCCTCGGGGGGCCCGGAGCCCGCTCATGCCCAGCCTCCCCCACCCCTCCAGGCTGCGGGAGGTGCCCGGGCTCCGGGATCGCCCCTCTGCGCTCTCCCTGCTCCGGGGCTCCTGTGTTCTCCCCGGCTCTTCCGGGGATCCCCAAACCCGAGATCGCCCCTGTGCCCGCCAGTACCGGGCGATCGCCCCCTGAGACCCCCCAAGATCCCTCCAGGACCATTTCCAGCTCGGCTTTGAGGTCCTGCCCCACAAAAAACTCTCCCAGAGACTCCCCCGATGCATCTGGGGCGAGCTCCCCCTCCCCGCTCACCAGCGGTTTCCGGGGGTGCGATCCGGTGGATCCGGGGGAGCTGCGGCTGGAGCGGGGTTGGGGCTGTTCCTCCTGCTGCTTCTCCTCTTTGTCCCTCGTCTTCCTCCTGCCCCTGCTCCTCCTTCTCTCCCTCCTCCTCCCCCCACTCCTCCGCTCCCAGACAGATCTGGGCAGTGCCGACCCCCAAAATCAGCCGCGCTTTGCCCTGGAGGGGGTTCGTAAGCGGTCCCGTCCCGCGCAGCACTGGGAACGATACTGGGAGCACTGGGAGGGATCCTGAGAGCAGCGGCAGCGATGCTGGGAGCAGCGGGCGGGAACTGGGAGCGCTTTCCGTGCCAGTCCCGCTCTTACTGGGAGCACTGGGAGGGAACTGGGAGCAAACAGCGCCCGGAGGTGGCTGCAGCCGGCGGCCAGCGTGGAGGGCGTGGCCATGCAAATACAGGAGCGATCGCGCGCTGGGATTGGTGGGCGGGAGCAGCGCGGGGTTTGTCGGTTATGTGAGGCCGGGGGGATCCAGAGCGATCCTCTCAGCAGCACTGGGAGGATGAACGAGTCTCAAGCAAACACAAGTTCGAACAATTCTAGCCTTTTCTTCCATCTCCCCTAGGCTGAATAGCAGTCATTATCATCTACAACCCTAAACTCACCCTCCTCAACTTCTACCTGTACACTGTAATAACTGCAACTGGTTTCCTCACCCTAAACACAATCAAAGTCCTAAAGCTATCTACCCTAATAACTGCATGGACCAAAATTCCATCCCTGAACGCAATGCTGCTTCTAACCCTGCTCTCCCTTGCAGGACTCCCTCCCCTGACAGGATTCCTGCCTAAATGACTTATCATTCAAGAACTGACTAAGCAAGACATAGCCCCAGCAGCCACACTTATCTCCCTCCTTTCCCTGCTAAGCCTATTCTTTTACCTTCATCTCACATACTGCACAACAATTACACTCCCCCCGCACACCACAAACCACATAAAACAATGATGTACTAGCAACCCAACCAGCATTACCAGAGCATCTGGTGAGAGGGGACCAGGACCAGGAATGGGGACCAGGAATGGCGACATGGGCAAGAAATAAGGACAGGGACCGCGAAAGGGGACATGGACCAGCAAAGGGAAAAGGGTCCCTGAATACTGGACAGGGACCAGGATTGGGGACAGGGACCAGGAATACAGGAGAGGGACTGGGATTAGGATCAGGAATCAGAAAATGGGAACAGGACAGGAAATATAGAAATGGGAAGGCAGGACTGGGAGCGGGAGATGGAATAGGAGAAGGGGAACAGGACAGTGAGTATGAGACTGGGAATACAGGAGTGGCAACCAGATAGAGAATATTGGACAGGGACAAGTATTGAGACCAGGAATGGGATCCGGACTCAGATGAGAGCAGGCTGGAGTTTGGTGATAAGGAAATGGGTGGGGGCAACATCAGGGAGAGGGGATCCTGGAAGGCAGACACCAGGAACCAGGATGGGAGGACATGGGGACACTTACTCAGCATCCCCCCTCACCCCATTCTTGTCTAAGTTCAGTGTCTTTATTTTTAACCCAGGATTTGGGTGTTAGGAAAGGACAAAGAGAAATGAAAAGAAAATCCAGGCCACAGGAAGCCAGGAGGATGTGGAGCCCCTCCCAGGCAGGTGTCTTCCCAACACAGATCACCGGCACCAAGGATCACCAGGGCTCTGCCCTCCCGGGCTCACTGGGGATCATCCAGCACAGATCCTCCCGTGGGGGATGGAGCTGGAGCAGCACATGAAGCTCTTCCTGCACTCGTGGCACTCCAAGGGCTGCCCTTAGTGCTGGCTCCGTTGGTGTCTGGTCAAGGTAGAGCTCTGGGAGAAGCTCTTCCCACACTGCGCACATTTGTAGGGCCTCTCCCCAGTGTGGATGCGCCAGTGGCTGATGAGAGCAGCGTTCTGCTTGAAGCCCTTCGCACAGTCAGGGCAGCGGAAGGGTTTCTCATCAGTGTGAATGCGCTGGTGCAGGAGGAGAGAGGAGGTTGTCTGAAATCTCTTCTTGCATTGATCACACTCATAGGGCCTCTACCTAGTGTGGATCCTCTGGTGGACAACAAGGGTGTAGTTGCGCTTGAAGCCCTTCCCGCAGTCGGGGCAGTGGAAGGGCCTCTCGTCTGTGTGAACACGCTGGTGCTTGACAAGATCGGACTTGCTGTAAAACCTCTTCCTGCATTTATCACACTCGTAGGGCCTCTCCCCAGTGTGGCCCCTCTGGTGGACCGTCAGGTTTGAGCTCTGTGAGAAGCTCTTCCCACATTGGGGACACTCATAGGGCCTCTCCCCGGTGTGGATGCGCCGGTGGTTGATGAGGTGGGAGTTGTTCCTAAAGCCAGTCCCGCAGTCGGGGCAGTGGAAGGGCCTCTCTCCAGTGTGAATGAGCTGGTGACCGAGGAGATGGGAGGACCTGTGAAACCTCTTCTTGCATTTATCACACTGATAGGGCTTCTCCCCATTGTGAATGCGCCGGTGCCTGTTGAGGGTGGAGATGCGGTTGAAGCGCTTCCCGCAGTTGGGGCAGAGGAAGGGCCTCTCATCTGTGTGTGAGCGCTGGTGCACGATGAGATCACCGCTGCTCATAAAGCTCTTCTTGCATTGATCACACTTGTAAGGCCTCTCCCCTGTGTGGTTCCTCTGGTGGACAATCAGATTGGACCTGTGGGTAAAGCCCTTCCCACACTCCCCACACTCATAGGGCCTCTCCCCAGTGTGGATCATCTGGTGGACAATCAGGCAGGATTTCCTCTTGAAACCCTTCCCACATTCTGAGCACTTGTGGGGCTTCTCCTCATCCTGAAGCTGCTCATCAACCCTCAGCTCCGAGCTCCGGCCGCCTCCCAGGCCCAGGGTGGGTCTTTCCTCCTCAGATCCCCGTGATCTGCGTTTGCAGCCCCTCCTTGTGAGGGATCTCTGGGGCTTTTCCTCCCCATTGGGTTCCTGCACTGTGGAGCCACTCAAAACAGCCTCTTCCACGAGGTTCTGCTGTGGGGATTTGTCCTCCCTGTTCTCCATCCTCAGCTCCTGGTCTGGGGGAAGAAGGACAAGAAGAAGGATGGGATTTGCCTCTGTTCCACAGAGAAGAGCAAGGAGATCCCCCTAGTGCGTCCCCAGCAGGACAGCTTTGGCAGCAGGGTTGTCCTGCAGCCGGGGGCCGTGCTGGGCTGGGAGATGGAGCAGGAGAGAGGGGGAAAGGGGCACTGGCTTCTTCCTCACCTGCCTGGGGCTCCTGGGCCATCTTCCTCTTCCTCGCAGCCACCTCCTTTTCCATCCTGCCAAGGTTTTGGAATGGGAAATCCTGGTTTGGGGGAAAAACAAGGCTTACTGAGTTGCGTTTGATGGTCCCGCTGCCCAAGTGCAGCTGGAGAAGTCAGCGCCCCTTTCAGCCTCGGGAGGCCCGGAGCCCGCTCATCCCCAGCCTCCCCCACCCCTCCAGGCAGCCGGTTTGTCCCCCGGCTCCGGGATCGCCCCTCTGCGCTCTCCCCGCTCCGGGGCTCCCGCGTTCCCCCCGGCTCTCCCGGGGATCTCCAAACCCGATACCTCCCTCTCCCCGCCGGTACCGGGCGATCGCCACGTGGGACCCCCCCAAGATCCCTGCAGGGGCATTTCCGGCCCAGCTTTCGCGTCCAGCAAGATCCAAACATTCCCTGTCCCGCAAAAAAACCATCCCGGACACCCCCGATGGATGTGGGGGGAGCTCCCCTATCCCGCTCACCTGCCGCTCCTGGAGGGGGCGATGCTGGCGGAACAGGGGGAGCTGCGGCCGGAGCGGGGAAAACCGCGTGGGATTGGGGCTACCCCTCCTCCTCCTCTGTCCCTCCTCTTCCTCCCGCTCCTCCTCCGCTCCCAGCTCGGCCCGGGCAGTGCCGAGCCCCAAAAGCAGCCGCGCTCTGCCCTGGGCGGGTTTCAAAGCGGCCCCGTCCCGCGCGGCACTGGGAGCGATACTGAGAGCAGCGGGAAGGAATTGGGAGGGCTTTCCGTACCAGTCCCGCTCTTCCTGGGAGCACTGGGAGGGAACTGGGAGCAAACAGCGTCCGGAGGAGGCAGGCGTGGCCAAACAGAAGGGCGCGGTTATGCAAATAAGAGCGATCGCGCGCTGGGATTGGTGGGCGGGAGCAGCGCGGAGTTTGCTCGGTTATGTGAGGGCTGGGGCGGCTGGAGCGATGGCGGCGGCGGCGTCCGGTGAGAGGGGACAGGGAACGGGAATGGGGACCGGGAGCGGGAATGGGGACAGGGAGCAGGAACGGGAGTGGGGAGACGGACCGGGGATGCAACCAAAAATAGAGATATGGACAGAGAATGGGGCCAAGAATGGAACCGGGGAAGGGGACAGGGACTAGGGACAGAGACTGGGAATGGGGACAGGGAATGGCACCGGGAATGGGGACAGGGACCGAGAATGGGGGCCGAGAAGGGGACCGGGGAAAGGGATAGGGACCAGGAAGGGGACCAGAGATGGGGACAGGGTCCGCAAATGGAGACAAGGACCAGGGAAGAGAATATGGGAATGGCACGTGGAACACGGAAACAGCAACCGCAGAGAGAATATGGGCTGGGGATTCGTGCTTCAAAGTGTCCAAGTGAAACCCAGCAGGGGCTGTGAGCTCTGCAGCTGGGCCTCCCCTGGGCTGCTGCGGCCCGGGGCCCAAAGGCGGGAGCTGCAGCCTCGCTCCTGGCTCAAGAACAGGAGCCTCCTGCAGGCCCATGGCCCCTGCATGGCCCCAGCATGAGGGAGGGCTCTGAGGCACAGCGGCTGCTGGCCGGAGGGGCTGCTCCGGCCAGCTGGGGGCCTCTGAGAAATGCCCAAAGCCTTGTGCTCTCTGCAGCTGGCCAAGGACAGCAGCAGGGCTGAACGGTTCGTGTGGCACAGCCAGCCCGAGCTGTGCAGCCCTCAGGGCCCCACGCGAGAGGCGGCCCTCAGAAATGGGACTGGGAATAGCACCGGGAGTACGGGACAGGGCCAGGAATGGGGACAGGGAATGGGGGCAGGGACGGGGAATACGAGACTGGGACCAGAAATGGGTACAGGGACAGTAATATGGAACCAGGACCGGGAATGGGGACAGGGACTGGGAATAGAACCAGGAATGAGAATGGAAATAGGAGATAGGGACAGGGACCAGAACAAGGACCAGGATATTGGGACTGCAACCAGCAATGGGGACAGGGACAGGAATGGGGACAGGGACTGGGATGTGATTGAGAAAAGGGGAAAGGGACCTGGAATGGGACTGGGGACGAGAATATTGGAATGGGACAGGGAATATGGAAACAGGAACCAGAGAGACAATATGGGATGGGGATTAGGAAGATGGTATCGGGATTGGGAACAGGAATACAGGAGTGACAGTGGGAATGGGAATATGGGAGTGAGACAGGGAATACAGAAATGGAAATGCGGGACCAGTAGTAGGATTAGGAATATGGGAACAGGACGGGGAATATGGAACTGGGAATATGGGAATGGCAATGTAAGGTTGACCCAGGGCCTTTGTGGGGTCTGGTTTGGCAGCTCTGGACCCCCGGGCCTCACTATCTCACAAGGACCAAAGTAAAGGACAGGAGGCGCTCTTCTCCTCGGGCCCAAAAATCCCACCTTAATTGTGGAATCACTCCAGGGAGGCCCAAGAGGAGAAAAGAGATCAAGTGTGTGATCGAGGGTGATTTTAAACCCAGGGAAAGGGGGGCACAGGAGAGAGGCCACGGCCAATGGGATACAACTGATGGGAGGGGCGAGGGGAGGAGTAACCCAGGGCAAGACCACCACCGGGGCTTTGGGGGAGAGGGGTGTGTGCGGGACAAACCATGTGATACAACATAAACTATTCACTGCAAAATAACAAGACCACCCAGTGCAAAACAATAACTAAAGAAACAACTTGATGCAATACAACCAGACAGACAGTACAGGATAGGGACAGGGAATGAGACTGGGGATGGGATTCAGACTGGGATGGAAGCAGAATGGGCCCAAGAGTGGGGTGACGGGGGAATGGGCCAGAGGAAAGGAGGGTGACAGCAGGGACAGGGGGATCCTGCACAGGGAACACCAGGAACCAGGATGGGGGAGATGAGAACAGTCCCAGGGCAGGGGGGCCTTGATCAGCTGCCCCAGAACTGCGACCAGGGCCTCCCAGCACAGCTGCAGCCACTCAGCCTAGGGTGCCCAAAGCCCTGAGCAACCCCCAAATCCCTCCCAGGAGCCCTCAAATCCCTTGGACCCAGCATCCCCCACATCTCCTGGAAGATTCCCCCATGTTCCCATCAATGTCTTAGTTCAATGTCTTTATGTTTTTACTCCAGTTTTGGGTGTTTTGAAGGGACAAAGAGAAATGAAAAGAAAACCCAGGCCATGGGGACCCAAGAGGATGTGGAGCCCGCAGGCAGGTGCCTTCCCAACATGGATCATTGGGGCTCTGCCCACCGGGGGTCACTGGGGATCATCCAGCGTGGATCCTCCCATGGGGCTTGGAGCTGGAGCAGCACATGAAGCTCTTCCCACACTCAGGGCACTCTTAGGGTTTCTCTTAGTGGTGGCTCTGTGTTGGGTCGAGCCACAGCTGTGCCTGAAGGTCTTCCCACCCTCGGGACACTGGTGTGCTGGTGCTTGAGGAGATCCAACTGCTCCGAGCCTTTTTCCCACACTCGCAACACTCATAGGGCTGTTCCCCAGTGTGGACCTTCTGGTGGAAGGTCAGAGTGGATCGACCACTGAAGCTCTTCCCACATTCCAAGCACATGTAGGGCCGTTCTGTGGTGTGCACCTGCTGGTGGTAGAGGTGGGAGCTGTGCCTGTACCTCTTCCCACATTCCCTACATTCCCAGCGCTGCTCCCCTGTGTGCACCCAAAGGTGGGTGAGGAGATTGAAGCTCTGGCTGAAGCTCTTCCCACATTCCAAGCACTTGTGGGGCTTCTCCTCATCATGAAGTTGCTCCCAGCTCTGAGCTCCGGCCACCTCCCCAGCCTCAGGTGGGTCTTTCCTCCTCAGATCCCTGTGATCTGCATCTGCAGCCTCTCCTTATGCTCAGTGTCCGGGGCTTTTCCTCCCCGTTAGGTTCCTGTGCTATGGAGCTGCTCAAAACGGCCTCTTCCACGAGGTTCTGCTGTGGGGATTTGTCCTCCCTGCTCTCCATCCTCAGCTCCTGGTCTGGGGGAGGAAGGACAAGGAGAGGATGGGATTTGCCTCTGTTCCACAGGGAAGGGCAAGGAGATCCCCACAGTGCATCCCCAGCAGGACAGCTTTGGCAGCAGGGTTGTCCTGCAGCCAGGGGCCGTGCTGGGCTGGGAGATGGAGCAGGAGAGAGGGGGAAAGGGGCACTGACTTCCTCCTCACCTGCCTGGGGCTCCTGGGCCATCTTCCTCTTCCTCGCAGCCTCCTCCTCCTCCTGCATCGGGCCAAGGTTTGGCAATGGGAAATCCTGGTTAGGGGGTGAAAACAAGGTGTGAGAGCTGGGGATTCCTCCTGCCCAAGCCCATCTCTAGAAGTCACAGGAGCAGGGATTGAGCTGGGAGAGGCCGGGATGGGCAGCGTGAGGCTCTCGGCTGCTCCCAATCTGATGGGGGCGGGGAGAATCCGCCCTGGGGAATAGGAGAGGCAAACTGGGAAAACTGTGGGCTGCAAATCCACACTTGGGCTTGGTGGGGACCCTGGGTAGGAAATTCCATCCCTTTGGGCTGATGCCCGAAATATAAGCTGGAAATAAATCCCCACAGAGCGGTGTTTTTAGATGTCACGTGCTGTGGTATATTCATACAGTAGGTGTTGCTCAGTGTCACTGTGTCACTACAACATCATCACCTACCTGCCAGAACTCATTTACATTGTACGATCTCATGGTTTTTAGATAGTTCTTCTGCACTGCACTTGCACTTGCACTTTCCTAATTCAGGGTCTGTCAGGAGTCTGTGATTGTCCTGGTTTTGCAGGGGGGGCATTTTAGGAAAGGCTTCCAAGGCCTTCTTCACATCTGAAGTTTTCAACTTTGTCTTTGGAGCATGTGCAGTTATGGTGCTCCTTGGTGTGTCTGATCCTAACCAGCCTAAACTCTTTGTTTTGTGGCTCATTGGCTTTGCACAGTTTCTCATTAGTACTATCCCTATCTACTTCTGAAACTCTCCACTTGGTGATTTTTTTTCTTCTTTTTTCTGTCTATTTAGCATTAAGCAACTAGTTAACCATATACAAGCCATTGCATTGTAGAAAGTTATTTATATCAGGTTATATAGGCACAAAACCCCACATATATATTTATATAGATATATAAAAAGTCATGATTTAGGTCCTATTGTTATCAGGTTATATAGATCTATCAGGCTATACTGATATCTTATAACTCAAGCTGTATCATCACTTTGTAACTTTGATCTAAGTTCTGTCGGCATCAGGGCTCTTCCCAAAGGCCTGGAGGTGTTGGAGCAGGGACTGCAGAGACGGGTGAGGGATCCTAAGAGTGGGATTTTGGGGATAGGATCCGTGGGGATGGGAATGTCCCGGGGCAGGGTAAAACTTGAGCCAGGTGTGCAGGACAGGACCTTGCCCTGACCCCAAGCACTGTCCCAGCTGCAGGATCTGCTTCCCATCAGCCTCTTCCTCCTGTGGTCCCAGGCCCAGCTTGGTGCTGGAGAAAGGGGCTGGGCCAGGGTCATCCCCTGGTGGGGGCTGTGCACTCCCTGTGCCCCCTCCCCAAATTCCCTCCTGGGGGAGCAGGAGCTGGGGCAGGAGCCCTGTGGGGAGGGACAAGGGGGTGACACCAGGATGGGAGGGTCACACACGGCCCAGGGGGATCCCCCCTCACTCCCAGTGTGCCAGGAAGACAAAGCCCTACACAGAACCCCTGTCCCCCAGCAGCACCTTGTGGGCAGGGTCTGGTGGCACCTCTGGGGGGTCATGACTGCCCCAAAACCCCCTCCCAGCCCCACAGCCACTCCCAGCCCCCTCAAACCACCCCACATGTCCTGGCTGCCCCCCCACCCCCAAACCACTCCATGCACTATGAATGGCCATAAGATCCATCAAAACTCTTTTCCACCCCTCCAAAGACCCAAATTCTCTCCAAGCTGCACAGCCCTTCCAGAACTCCCAAAACTCCCCCACAAACCCCTCCAAAACCCCTTAAACCCCCTCCCAGCACCAGAGATGCCCCTAAGAGCCAACAAAACCCCCTTTCAGTCTTCTCAGCATTCCCTAATCCCCTTCCCATCTCCACATAGCACTGACCAGGAGAGGTTGGTGGACAGGAACATCCACAGCTGGAGAGCTCAGGCACTTCATCACCGTTTTAGGCACTTCCATCCCTTTGGGCTCTTAGCAGAGGCCTGCAGATGTTGGAGAGGGGACTGCAGGGAGGGATGAGGGATGCCAAGAGTGGGGTTTTGGGCACAGGAGGAGGGGCTGTGTGAGCCACTTGCTGGGGTGTCGATCTGGAGGCTTCCCTGGTGATCCCAGGGCCCCAGGCTGCAGAGCTGTCACCACCTCCTACTTGGGGTGGTGGCTCTGGTGGGACTTCTGTTCCTTGGGGCTCTTCCTGCAGCCAGAGAACTTGTAGGGACCCTCCTCTGGGTGGGTCCTCCAGGTGGGTCCTCCAGGTGTTCCATGAGCTTTGCTCCATGAGCTCCTACTATAAATGACTGGGCTCTCCTGGGATCATATGGAGATCATACTGGGAGTGACTGGGAGTGACTCCAAGCATGCTGAGGGCAACTGGGATATACTGGGAGTGTCTGTAACCCTATTGGGGGTGACAGGGAGCGCACTGGGAGCAACAGGGACCATGCTGGAGGCAACTGGGAGCAAGTCTGGGTGTACACAGAGGGCAACTGGGCATGACTGGGACCCTGGTGGCAGAGACAGGGATCATACAGGGAGTGACTGGGACTATACTAGAGGCCACTGGTATCACACTGGGAGCAACAGGGAGCAATTGGAACCATGCTGAGGGCAACAGGGATCATACTGGGAGTGACTGGGCTCTGGGAAGCACAGGATGGTGAGGAGCAGGAGGACAACTCCCATCCCAGCCCCACAAATAACCCCTATTCCTGTGGATCCCCCAGCCCCTGGCTCCCCCAGCTCACCCCTGCTCTGACTGTTCTGGACTTGCAGCAGCTCCAGGTCAGTGGAGGATGTGCTGGGTGCACCCACCAGGCTGGCTCTGGAACTCCCAATATTCTGGCTCAAATCTGGCCCTGCTCAAAGGGGGTCCCAGCCAGGTCCATGCAAAGGTGGGTGAGGAGGCTGGAGCACTGACTGAAGCTCTTCCCACATTCCAAGCACTTGTAGGGCTTCTCCCTGCCATGAAGGTGCTCAGGAACCACCAGCTCCAAGCTGCACCTGGATCTCTGGCTGCTTTCCCAGCACAGGGTGGGTCTTTCCTCCTCACGGCTTCCTGGGCTGGGTTTGCAGCCCCTCTTCATGTGAGATCTCCCGAGCTTTTTCTCCCCATTGAATTCCTGCAGTCGAGCCTCTCAGAACAGCCTCTTCCACGAGGTTCTGCTGTGGGGATTTGTCCTCCCTGCTCTCCATCCTCAGTTCCTTGTATGAGGGAGGAAGGACCAGGAGAGAAAGGAACAAGAAAAAGGAAGGAAAAAACCCCAGAAAGACAGAAGGAAGGAAGGAGAGAAGGAGATTTATTTTTTGTGCCACAGCAAAAGAGAAAGAGATTTCTCCAATCCACTCCCGGCAGGACGGGGTTGGCAGCAGGGTTGTCCTGCAGCCGGGGGCCGTGCTGGGCTGGGAGATGGAGCAGGAGAGAGGGGAAAGGGGCACTGACTTCTTCCTCACCTGCCTGGGGCTTCCAGGGCATCTTCATCTTCCTCATGGTCCCCTCCTCCATCTGGTCAAACTTTGGGAACTGAAATTCCTTTTTTGGGGGAAAAACAAGGTGTGAGTGTGTTGGCCTGGGTGTTCCTCCTGCCCAATTCCATCTCCAGAAGTCACCAGGTGTCCATAAAAACCTCCAGACCACCAAGGTTCAGCCACCCTCATAAAAACCCAAACCACCAAGATTCACCAACCAACCATTCACCCAGGAGTTCCCCCGCTACTTTGGGGTTCAGGGGTCCCTCCTGTCTGGCCTTCTGCGGCTCCAGTGTGTATTGGTATCCCCTCTCTCTGGGCTGCAGGGCTCCTGGCAATCCCAGAGGTTCCCTTCCCTGGGCTCCCCAGGTGGGTGTCAGAGGGGCTCCAGGGGTACCAGCTGTGCGGGGTCCCCGTTTCAGGGCCCCGGGGTACCCATGGGTCTCCCTTGTCCATGGTCCCAACATCTCCAGTGTGAAAAGTGCATATTATATGACTCTACGCAGATATTTAGCATATGGATTTTGATGTATTGATTAGTAGTGCTGTATTAACATTTTAATAATATATGTAGTCTTGTAATTAAAAGGTAACTTTTGTAGTTTAAATAAGAACTATGTTAGTGGGATTTTTTAAGAAAGGAATGAGGCACTCGCACCAGATAGCAGCCCCAGGACACCTAAATCTTTCAGAGAAAAAGAATTTATTGCCCTCTTATTAGAAGAAACGAACTTCTTCCCGCCTCCAAGGCGCTGGTAGGATTAGAAGGAAGAAGTTGATGATGACCAGACAGAATCCTGTATTTGAATGGAATTTATGCATCATGTATGAAGTGGATGAATATGCAACAGGCTATTGCTTTTAAGGGTTAATCCTCTGTTAACCCGTGTCCTTTTTCGGGCTTGTGCTGCCCAGAAAAAGGTACCCGGACGTCCATAACTCTTTGTCTTTATTGTCTCATATTCTCCTAATTCAACTTGTCCAAATTATTATTACTCTAATTGTATTACTATTTTTATAACCATTTTGTAACTATTAA